GACAATCTGCAAGCGATATATAGAAGTACGCAAGTTGCAATAGCAGTGGGATTGATCCAAAGAGAATGTTGGTTGATTCGAATGCGATTTTAATAAGGAAGAACAAGTGTATGAGGAATATTTGGTGGATGCAGTTGAAGTTAAAGCATTCTTCAACAACAAATCAAAATTATATAATCAAAAAAACCAATTGTCTTGAGAATGAACTATCGAGCTACTCAACTTGATTATAGCAGAGGTTGAAAACAACCACAACAATAGCAAAATGAGAAGCGATATTCATGAAATAATAATAACAGTAGCTTAATATTGTAATGACACATTGAAACAAACAAATAGGGCTGATTTTACAGCAAATATTTGTGGACCAAAAAAAGAACTTAACAGAAATTTGAAAAAGCTACACTACGAGTTTCACATGGCATACGGAGAGAAACGCTCTTCGCTAGAATATGACACCACTTAACAGGTGTGAAAATGATATCCTCTGAAATGAACAACTTGCATAAAATTTACGATCCGCGAAATCTCTGCACTGATCCGCGAACATCGCGACTCAAGGTTCTCAAAGAGAAGAATTCACTTACAATCAGTTCACTGAACAATTCATCGCTTTTATACAACATTTATACAAGTTCTCCAGTTCTTAACTGGCGCTCCATGTGACACAGCGAGAATACGATTCGCCGCTCCATGTGACAAAATATTTCATTGTGTTGACGACGGTTGTATTGTGATTTCGAATGAATGGCATGAAATTTTGTTTGGTCCATGTGATGACAAGGATAAGTCCACCCAATCGGTGATAACTTCTGACTGACTATGGGTTCATCTTTATAGTCATCTTCAAATGGTCTGGACGAAGTATTTTCTTAATTAAGCTTTCGAATTGAGCTAATTGAAAGCGTACGGCTAGCAGCTCTACGCTTCCTTATCACATCGACCATAGGCGTTCGATTAGAAGCACGAACGAACGGAGTTTATGAAGCAGAGTACTGCTGACAATATCGCTCTTTCAAGGCTTCCACACCAATCCACGACTTGAACGTTCGAATATGTCGACTGTATCGTCGTCGAGTGGTTGCAATTTCTTGCCGTGTTAGTTCTTGTTCCAGCAACGGCAAACTGAGACGAAACAATTGTAGTTGTTCGGTGTTGAATATCGCTTCAGGACTCACGCCGTAGTCCATTAAGCGTGATAAACACGGTGTTTCGTTGGTCGACACCCGAAGAGTCAACTGAAAACTAATCACGGTGATGTCGATCATTGAATCCACTTTGCAATTTGCAATTCAATCAGAATTCAGTGTAATTACTCACTGTATCAACTGAATGAAGTGAACGTTTTTGTTTTCGAAGTGTGGCTTCGCTACAGAAGAGTAACTTCAAAACGCGTAAA